GATGGGTGTGACCAAGTCAATGTGACTCCCACCCAGTCACATGACCCCTCCCCCAGCCATTCCTACCCAGGTTTCGTGGCTCCCAGTGTTTTCTGTGGGAAATGTCTCTCACTCTTTCTTTTGTTTCTTTCTCTCCCCTTTCTCTCATTTGTTTCCCTCTCTTTTCCCTCTCTCTCATTCTCTAGCTCTTATTTCTCTCTCCCTATCCCTCTCTCTCCCCTTTTCTCTCTCATTTGTTTATCTCTTTTTCCTCTCTCTCATTCTCTCCCTCTCATTTCTGACTTTCTTTTTCCCCTCTTTCTCTTTCTTTCTCTCCCCTTTTCTCCCCTTTTCCCTTTTTCCTCTTGTTCTCTCATTCAATCTCTCTCATTTCTCTCTCCCTCTCTCATTTCTCTACTCCTTCTCTCTCTCTCATTTGTTTCTTTTTCCTCTCCATCATTTTCTCATTTCTCTTACTCCCCTTTTCTCATTTCTTTCGTGTGCGTGTACACACCTGCACGCATGTGCATGAGCAAGAATATCCTCTGTTGTACATGAATGGGGATACCCTCAGCAAGCTAGCGGCCAGGTTTGGCCAAAGCACAGTGAAAGAGCGCAGAGTGGGCAGGTTGACCTGCTGATGGGCAAGCGTCTTTGGCAAGAGTGCTACAACTTTCTCTGAGCCTGATCCCCAGGGTGGGCGTGCAAAGTTCAACTGGGCCAGCCCCATTTTCCCTCTGCCCTGAGCTTCTTTACTCCTCCACCTGAGTGGTACCACTGGTAGCTTTCATTGAAACGTGTCCTCCAGGCATCTTTAAATCTCGCACAGGGGACTGTCACTGCCCGGAGGATGCTTTTCAATGAAAGACGCTGGTGGCACCACTCAGGTGGAGGAGTAAAGAAGCTCAGGGCAGCAGGAAAAGGGGGCTAGCCCCCGCCAAACCTCGCATGCCCATCCCAGGGATCAGGCTTGGTGAAAGGCAGAGCACCCTCACCAAAGACACTTGTCAGCTGGTCAACCTGCCCACTCAGAGAGCCTTCACTGCCCTTTGGCTGAGCCCAGCTGCTCACTTGTGGAGGGTATCCCCACGTGTGTACACCCTCCCAGCCCCGCAGCAGCCAGCCAGGGGGTTGTGTGCGGAGGAGGAAAGTCGTCTTCAAGGAAGCCACCACCAGATTTGTGCTCTGCTCCTCAGCTACGGGCCTGTCCCCCTTTCTATTGTACCCTCCTTCTGGATCCCATTCCCACCCCACCAGTGGAGAGAGGTTGTGTGACTGGGTCATCAGAGAGCCACGGATCAAGGATCCACATGCAGCTTCAGAGCCGCGAGTTGCTGACATCCACCTTATACCATTCCAGACAAATGGCTGTGTAATCTCTTCTTAAAAAACCTCCAGTGATGGAGCAACTACAACTTCTGGAGGAAAGCCATGCCACTGATTAATTCTTCTTACTGACAGAACATTTCTCCTTAATTCCAGGCTCTTTGATAAGCTTTCATCCATTATCTCTTGTACATTATCCTGTACTTTGGAGAATAAGTTGACCCCTCTTCTATGTGACAGTCCTTCAAATATTGGAAGATTGCTGTAATGTCACACTAGTTTTCATTAGACTAACCTAACTCTTAGCCTACAGGCCCCTAATCATCTTTGTCACACTTTTCTGCACCCCTCTTCTTTGTACTTGGGGTATCCTAATCCATCTGGTGGTGATGCTTCTCTATGCCATATTTTTCTATGTTATCAAGAACTAGGTTATGGTCTACTTTGAAATCTAAGTAAACTGCCTAGAGTATTTTGCTGGCCTCCAAATTAGCCATTTTGTCAAAGAATGCAAAAAGGTCTGGCATGATAGGTTTTGACAAATTCATGATAGCTTCTAGTAATAGCTTTATTTGTTTTCTAGGGGTTCTTCAGTCCGTTGCTTGATTATGTTTTCCAAGTTCTTCCCAGGTATTGATATGAGGCTGATTGGTCTGTAATTTCCTGAGACCATTTTTAAAAAAATATTGGAACCACATCCATTATTTTCCAGTCCTCTGGTAGTTTCCCAGTGCTCCAGGTCTTTCAAACATGTTTAGTGCTTTCCAAATCAAGTCTGCCAACTCCTTCAGAACCCTGGGATGTAATCCATGACCTGGTGATTTGAACTCATCCAGAGTGGATAGCAATAGCACTTAGACTTATATACCACTTTGTTTTACAGCCCTCTCTAAGCAGTTTACAGAATTAGCATATTGCTCCCAACAATTTGAATCCTAATTTTACCGGGCTAGGAAAGATGGAAGGCTCAGTCAACCTTGAGCCATTAGGAGAAATGTTCTGACAGTGACAGCAATCAACAAATGGAACAGCTTACATTCAGAAATTGTGGGAGCTTCACTAAAAGCTTTCAAGAAGAGACTGGCCTGCTATCTGTCAAAAATGGTTGTAGGGTCTGCTTGGGCAGGGAGTTGCACCAGATGACCTACAAGGTCCCTTCCAGTTCTGTTAATCTGAATATAATCTGAATATTTTGATTTGTATTCCTAACCTGTCCTTTATGGAACTGCTTTTGATAGATTAGACTATTCTTTTTCCTTTTGTGAAAAGACAGGTGCATGGATTGAATTAAGTAGTTCTGCTTTCTTGTTTTTTCCATGCTTATTTTATTTGATTTGATTTGTCAATTGCTTACAAGATAATAGGTATAAGTAAAAACATAGTTATGAATACATGGATACATACAAGAAAAATAAAAGAAACAATAGGACAGGGATGGTAGGCACATTGGTATGCTTATGCACACCCCCTACAGACCTCTTAGGAAAGGGGTGAGGTCAATAGTAGAAAGACTAAGGTTAAAGTTGTTGGGGTTTGGGGAAGAAACCACAGAATCAGGTAGAGTATTCCAGCCATTTACCACTCTGTTGCTGAAGTCATATTTCCTGCAATCAAGTTTGGAGCGATTAACCTTGAGATTGTATCTATTGTTTGCTCTTGTATTGTTATGGTTGAAGCTGAAGTATTCATTGACAGGTAGGACATTGTAATGTATGATTTTATATACTATACTTAGATCGGACCAAAGGCGGTATAGTTCTAGGTTTTCTAGGTCTAGAATTTCAAGTCTGGTAGCATAAAGTATTCTGCAACGAGTAGAGGAGTGGAGAACTCTTCTTGTGAAATATTTCTGGACTTTCCTCAACTGTGTTAATATCAGATACGTAATGTGGGTTCCAGACTGATGAGCTGTATTTGAGTATTGGTCTAGCAAATGTTTTGTATGCTCTAGTTAGTAGTGTAATATTACCAGAGAAAAAGCTACATAAGATTAGGTTAACAACTCTTAATGCCTTTTTGGCTATGTAGTTACAGTGGGCTCTAGCACTTAGATCATTAGAGATGAGTACTCCAAGATCCTTGACAGAGTTTGGATCATCGACAAGGTCTTGACTATTCAGCCTGTATTTTATTTTCTGATTTTTTTTGCCAATATGTAAGACAGAGCATTTATTTGTTGAGATTTGAAGTTGCCATTTGTTTGACCATTCTGATACATAGTCGAGGTCTTTTTGAAGGGTAGCAGTATTGTCTGTGGTGTTGAATAGCTTTACATCATCAGCGAAGAGAACGCAGTTGCTCTTAATATGATCATAGAGGTCATTTATGTAGAGTATGAAGAGAGTTGGTCCTAGAACACTGCCTTGGGGGACACCACTGTTGACAGGTACAGAATTTGATAGGATGCTCCCAATTTTGACCATTTGTTGTCTGTTTGACAGGAATACTTCTATCCAGTTATGCAGGTGTCCAGAGATACCATAAGATTTTAGTTTTAGGAGTAGTTTGTTGTGTACCACTGAATCAAAGGCTTTACAGAAGTCTATTTGCATCTGTTGCTTTGCCCTGATCGAGTTGTGTTGTCCATATGTTTTTGCAGTGTAAGAGTTGCAGATTGCAGGATAGTTTTTTTCTGAAACCTAATTGTTGAAAGAAACATTTCAATTATTATTTCTGACATTTGTTGCAAGTTTTAGTTCATTATGAGCCTTAGTTTTCCTGACATCATCTTTGCAGATTTGGGCTATATGTTAAAAATTGAAACTTTTAAAAATTAAAATATATTTATGATAAAAAACATTTTTAGTTTTTTTAAATATCTGCATGTGCTTTTTAAAGGTATATTTGAAAGTAGGCTGGAAAATGTTTTCATCCATGGATGCCACTGATCACTTTTAATGTGATTTTTAATTTCTTTTTATTAAAAGTGGTCAATGACATCCACAGATGGAAACATTTTAATGCCTATTTTCAAATATGTGCTTAAAAAGCACATTTGTCTAATTTGCGCTAAAAATTAGACAAATGTTATTTCAGGTCCCTTATTCCTTAGTAAATGATAGCATGCAGTTTGGCTTTTCCCGCAAGCCTACCAGAATGAAAGTTAATTACAAGATAGTGACTAAATGCTATGATATGTTTAAATAGTAATGGCAAATTATCACAGAATGGATTTTTTATTAATATTTTAAAATTTAACAGAGGTTACTGTGAATGCAGTCACATCTCTGTATTTGCAATGTGCAGCAATCAAGTAGAGTCAAGATGTGATTATTTTAGTCTCATTTTTTTAATGTATTTATATCCCACCTTTATTATCTTTATGGCTTCTTCAGCTGTAACAGGATAGTGGGGAATGGAAGGATCTCGAGCTCCATTTTTGCTGGCAGAGGGCTGCAGGATGCCGTCATGGCCAAAAATGGAGCCCAGGCAGGCTGTGTGTGGCCTCCCCAACTCCATTTTCACTGGCAGAGCGCTGCAGGAGGCTGTCATGGCCAAAAAAGGCCAAAAACAGAGTCTTGATGAGTGACATTGTCCACCCTGGCCACGCCTGCCCAGCCCTGAGGTCAAACACAACTCGGATGCGTCCCTCAATGAAATCGAGTTTGACACCTCTGATTTAGCATTTTCAGAACAACTATCTTGTTCATCAAATACTAATCAACAATCTTGACAACTTTGTACTTATATTTCAGGAGGTGATGAGGAATTTGGTTAAGAGATATGTAGCAGCAATGATAAGAGATGCTAAAACTGAAGAGGGACTAACAGAAGAGAATTTTAAGGTAACTGCTTAAATGAACAATTTAATAACATTATTAATTAACAATATGAAATGAACAATTTAATAACAATGAATCACAAAGTTTCAACTGAGACCTGTTTAATATATGAATTTACATAGCATATAGTTCAAAAATAAAATTATTAATTGAGTTATAATGTTATTTAATAAAATATAATTGTTTAATCAATCTTTCAAAAACAACTTATTTTCTAATATAGGTTTTTTTAAGTTGCATGCAACATTTATTTTCTTCTACCTCTTCAGGAATTAAAGCAAGATATTTCCAGTTTTCGCTTTGAAGTATTGGGTCTTTTAAAAGGAAACAAACTGGGTAATATACAACACTCTAAAACTAGCACAGAAGCCTCCTCCTTGACAGAATCTGATGAAGGAAGTGAAAGTGGAGGAAATGAAAAAATCATGAAGAAAAACCTCAGCCTTTTCGAAATAACTACAATGATTCACCCAAGAGTAGTAGCAAAAGTCTCTAAAGCACACAACCAAAGCAATGGGTCAGCAATGATGTCAACTGAATCCATGAAGGAAAAACAAAAGAAAGTTAACTTTGTAGCTGAGGTAAAAAAGCGTAGGTTGTTTCATAGACAATCAAATAATGGCTCTATTGAGCATAGTACAAATAAAATTTATTCAATTTCTGAAGAAATTTCCCATCAACAAACAGAAGAACATAAGAGAGTAATTGAACTGGGAGATAAATCATTGGCTGTGAACTGTGAGCTAAACAAACAGGATCTCAGCGCAAAGTGCACAGTTCCCAGTAATGAGCAAGGTAGAAAGGAGACTTTCAACTGTATGCTGAATAAGAAAGCTGCTTCCTCTGACTGGAAAACCACCAAGGGGCAGGACTCTGATTTTCCCAGAGAAAGTGATTTGCTAAACAATGAGCAGGACATCAACATCATAAAGGAAGAAACAAATATTCAGAGCAGCTATATGACAACAAGGTTGTGATGAAAGTAGGCAGAACCTGTAAAATTATGTATAAATTGTAAAATGCTTTGAAACAGAAATATTTAAACTTAACTACCAAATACAGTATTAGAATATTCAAAAACTGTAGGACAAAATATTGTAATATAATTCTATGACGAAAAATAAACAGAAAAATCTGCTTTGTAACTCATTTTTGTTTTTACAATTACTTTTACAGATTTTATTAAGCAGGAGTGTCTGGTATTCTTGTATTGTTGCAATAAATGCAGAAAGGTTTATAGATACCTTCTTCAATCTGAATTAAAAAAACATTTTCTCTGTGATAGTTGGTGCTTATAGTAAATATTTTTATATGCAAATAAACATAGCTTAATAAAGGTGTGAGCCAATATGAATGTGTTTTAATGTTTCCTATTGAACCATTAAAATGTTTCGTATCTGTATATTATATTTAAATATATATATATGTTTTTACTGACTGAATAATTATAACTTTTCATTAAGTTATAAATAAATAAAATTTGAAACTTTCCACATTAATTTTTAAATAATTATTTTAAATAATTATTTTTTACCCACTAAGAAATATTTATGTTAAAATATTTCATCAATAAGAAACCAGGTGTCTTTCAGATATTCAGTTATAAATCCCATAAGCCATAGCCAATAGATCCCAGAGCCTGTTATTGTAGTTCAGCTTTTTTGCAGGCAAAGTTTTCTGTACCTGGAATATTAGGACTGACCATTTTCATTCATTAAAATATTGTGAATTCTATAATGTATTCTGATTCTGATAACAAAGAGAAAATTAAATTATTCCTTTGAAACTATGATTTCAAAATAAATTTACTCATATATTTAGGAAAAAAGGATTTACCCACTTTTGTTAATAAATCTAATAAATTATTAGTTTAATAAATTCAATAAATAATAAATCTTAATTCCTTTTATTTTATTTTGAATAGAATAGAATTCTTTATTGGCCAAGTAGCTAGAATTAATGATTTTTAATTTTGTTTTAGTAATTGGAAAAAAGATTTTCTGGAATTATAGAGTATTGTACATAATTTCAAATGCTAATCAGAGATTCAAAATTATAAAGCTAGAATAAAAGACAACCTGAAAAGAAAAAGTAAAATAAAGCATAAACCGAAGACTCAGCTGAGAGACAATTCCAAACAGCACACGACTGTGATGACTAATAGGCATCAATATTCTAGCATGGCCTTTATTTCTCTTCCCTGCCCTTGTAACCTTTGTTAACAATTCTTATTCTCATTAGATTAGGAACTGGATGATTGCCCTTCCTCTGAAAATGAAATTCTAATAGGAGATTAAGGAGAGCATATTGTCTGTACTAGAGGTAATTTTAAAGAAGACATAAATTTGGTTGCTAATAATTATTTTTAACAGCTCAAATAATCATTGCTGTATTCAGCTTTTGGATGTCAATTAAAAATAGATGAATTAATGACTTTAATGGAAAATTATATTTTCAAATCAGTTAATAACAAATAACATATGATTCAAAACTTTAATCCATGGATAGTACAGACTGTACAAACATTTCCAGTTAAAGAGAATATGGAGGGGAAGTTAATTTTACAGAGACATAGATTTTTCCTTCATGTTGTTGATATGCCTTTGAATAAGATCAGGTGGTATAATAGGTAATAATACTAAACTACAATTCTCAGTGTATGGTTAACCATAAAGAGTTCAGTTGCCTATACACTAATGCTCAGAATCTGGGGAATAAACAGTGAAATCTTGAAACCTTAGTACAAGAGGGGAAGTAAGGCTATTGTTGCCATTACCAAAACTTGGTGGATGGAAACTCACTTGGAGAGCTTGGCGTAGAGTTTTGTGACATGGAGCTTGCTTAGGACTGCATGGACAAGTTTCACATGCTTCACTTTCATTTTGGTATAAATTAATATGTTGTCAAGGTACACCAAAACTCTCTTGTAAAGGTACTCAAGGAGCACCTCATTTATCAGAACACAGCAGGGGCCCCTTTGCAGTCCAAAAGGGAGCATGTTAAATTGAAAACATCCCAAGAGGCAGTTGAAAGTGGTTTTCCATTCATCCCCTTCTTTAATTTTGACCTGATAATAGCCCCCCCCCCCACTTTTCAGGTCCAACTTAGGAAAAATCTTTCCGTTGGACAGGTGAGCCAGTATATCCTTCATGAGGGGGAGAGGGTACACATTTTCCATGCAAACTATGTTCAGATCCACATGTAAAAGAAACTCATCTTCTAGAACAACACGGGGGCAGTTACCTTGAGTCTGGCCGGTTGGATGAAGCCCTGGGCTAGGTTCTTTTCTATAAAGGCATATAGCTCCTCAAACTCCCTGGGGGACATGGAATATAATTTTGGCTTTGGCAACTTAGCCCTGGAGACAATCTCAATTACACAGTCTATGGGCTGATAGGGAGGAAGTTCATCCAAGCCTGTTTGGCTGAACACTTTGACTAGGCCTCAGTACTCTCGAGGAATGCCCTGCAGTGGCTCACCTTTTGAAGTTGCGGCTGGTTCCTTACTTGGCCCACCTTCCTGCTTGTGGCTGCTATTGCTGGGGGCTGGTTCCTCCTCTCGGGAATTTCAAAATTCCCTTCTTCCAGTTCATTTGTGGGTTCCAACGTTTCAGCTAGGTAAACCATTCCTAGGGGCCATTTCATCCCAGGTGCCATTGTAAAGATTAAAGTCTCTTGGACTTCTGGTGGCATTTCTGTCATGGATGGATTGAAGTCTGTGATCATGCATGGCTTTGATCCATTGGAGGTCTCCAAATGGGTCCAGATCCACCCTGGAGGGGTGGTGAAAAAGGGGGAGACTGCCTGTTGGGTTGAGGGGAGCCACATCTCCCCTCCCTGGCTAGATATACTCCCAAAAATGGGCTATAGCAGTGGTCTAATATGGCCACCTTGAAGACAGAAGGCTAACCGGGACATAAGATTGTGCAGGAGTGGTGAAGTAGCGGACAATGTAGAGACCAGGCAAACCAGGTGCAATATATGGGCATAAAGGTACCCCGAAATTAAGATATAAAGAAATTTTTAAGAAAGACTATAAAGCAGCAACCAGAGAGAGAGAGAAAAGAAGGGTGGAAACAAATGAAAGAGGCTTTGAATTTTGAAAAGAGCTAAACTGAAGGTGGAAACTAGAATAAAATATTTGCTTAAATATATGATCTTGGCACTAAACAGGCATAATCGAATGCTGAACTTGAATCTATTAAGAAGAAACAATAATTGGATACATTGAATTATTGAAATTTAAAAGCCTCAAATAGGGAAAAGAAAGTGGAAAGAAAGGGTGGAACTTGGACATAACAGAGAGCGCTAAGGGAAAAATTTCAGCGACTCTTTAAAAAGTGCTTGGTTCTTTTACTGGAACTTGATACAAAATAAGAGGAACTTTGTTACAATAAAACAGAAACCCTGAAAAATGAAAAAACAGAATACTATAAAGATTTTTAAAAAGAAGCTTGGGATTACTTGATGCCTTTGGAAAAAATTAAGGATTCAAAAGAAGGTACCTAGAAATAAAAACTTATGGATATTGGACTATTTGGTGACTTTTGAAAAAAATTAAAGAGGAATTAATAGAAGTTGATTGTTGGAAATAAACATCAAAGACACTGGTTGAATTAAATTACTGGACAATTGGTTTGGACTTAAATATCAAAGAAAGGGTTAAATAAAAAAAGAAATGCACAAAAATGGCAGAACTTTTTTTGGAAATAAAATTGGAACTAAGAAGCATAAAGAAAATGTTACATGAAAGAACAGAATTGTGCAGTATTGTTTAACATAAATGAGAAATGGCTATGTTGAAGAACAAAGAAGAACAAAGAGAGCCAGAAGGGGAGGAGTCAATCAAAGAAGAAGCCAGCCTAAACAAACAAATGGAACAATGAACATTAAAACGAGGGGGAAAAGAATGAAAATTAAAATCTGGAGGTTTGAGGGGATAACTAAAGAGGGAATGGTTTGGAAAGTCAAACAAAGAAAAAGGAAACAGCAGAAAAAGGAATTACAGAAGAAAGTTCAAGAGAGGGAAGGGGATAAAAACTGGAGCAAGAAATGGAGGGAAAAAATAAAGGAAAAAAGGGGGGAATAAGAGAAAGGACCAGAAAATAAGGGGATATAGAAAATGAATAAAAATGAAAAGAAATTATACAGTTAGGAGACATAGAGATAATGGGTAGATAAAGAACAGGAAAGGGGATTCTGCAAGGTAATACGTTGTGATATATAAGAATATAGATTTTAAAAGTGAAAAGATTGGAACTGATATTTCTTTTTTAATTGGTTTTTTTAAGGATTACTGTCAAACCATATATAGATATAAGTGGAATAAATGTGAAAATGAAAAGTTATGATTAGAATACGAATCATAATAAAATGAAGAATACAGTTAAAATGAATTATGAGGATTGTAATAAAAAGTTTAATATCAGTTTCTACAATTAATTGAATAAATTAACATATTTGAAATAATAAACAATTTAGAATGTAACTGAGGGGAAGAATACCATGCGGAACTTGGATACACACACACACACACACACACACACACACACACACAATATGTAGTAGTTAGGAGATTATTATTAAACTAGAATGTGGTAATTAAAACGTGATTATACTATGATAAATTTTTACTATGAATTAAAGGGGAATAAACAGTGACATATAAGACAAAGGGGTGGCACACTCGAATTGGTAATTAAAGGGGGACGTTTTTGAAATTATTAGAATTAAGATGAAATTTACTGAATAATGAAATAAAAGTATGTGATAAAATTGCAAATGTGACAGATAAAAGAATAAAAGTATAATGAATCTAGAATAAAAAAATAAGAATGTTAGATATTATAAAATAAGACATGAGAATATTTAAAGAAAAATGAAATAAGATATGAATTGAAAATGGATAGAATAAGTGCGAAGACTATAAGAATATTGGAGAAAACTTATGGGAAAATGGGAAAAGTAATGATATGATATGAAATTGAATGTGAAAGATAAATATGTAACAAAGGTCATATTTGTATTGAAATGTAAAAACCTGGAACCACATTGTTCACCAAAAGAGATGTTTTTAAAATATAAAAATAAAAAATTATTATTAAAAAAAAAAGATTAAAGTCTCTTTATGGCTCACCTTGGCTAATTTTAGAGGCTCGGTGGCAAATGTGTCTGGGACTCTGCCCACAATGGACCCGTCCAGCTGATAGAATGCAATTGGGTTTCTTAGTCTTTTTAGGTGGACTTCCAATATCCCTGCCAGGGTTGGGCTTATTAGGTATCTGGTGCACCCCAAGTCTAGCAAAACCCTCAGTTTCACTCTCCTCCCTTAGCTGGGGATTAACAGTTCTAGAGCAAGGTGACTGGCACGATCAATCCACTTACCAAGGAGTTGTCTTCAAGT